TCTTTAAATCATATATCTTTTTCGTTTTTAAATATTTTAATCTAAATAAAATACTGAACGTGACCAGAAATATATAAGTAGGTCATGTATGTTGATATCAATGCAATCCCGCCTTTACCAAGAAATCATATCTTTTAATCAGAACTTTCATATCGCACACACTTATGCTGGTTGATATTAGTGACAAGTCAAGAGTTAAACACTCCAAAGTTATTTAATAACATTTGTTTAGGTAATGACATTGTTATGCAATTAAAATCACTTTCAATTCCACTCTCTAAAATCCTTAATGGTTCTCAATTAACCATATTAAATGTCTATTTATCTTCTGTGTTGATAATTAATACTGACAAATGTTAAATTGTTGTGCCAAATTTAGTCATATGCATAATTTCAAAGCATGGAAAATCCAGTCCAGTGCACATGAATATTTATTAATTAATATATACCCTAAAGGTATTTAATAGAGCTATTGGTCAAAGATACATTTATATCAAATCAAAGCACACACATCCCTGGTTCATTCATTACTCTGCATTTGTGCAAGTCCAAACTCCTTTGTCCGTTTGCCTAAAGCTCCGACTAATGCGACCGTTCAACATTTTAGTCCATGTCCGAAGTCCAGATCAGCAGCTGAAGGAGACTCCTGACTCCGACTCCCAATCTGGGTGCTACTCCCTCTCCATCTCCGAATCACAATCAAGGGCGAGTTACGGAATCAAAAGCAGCGACCGAAGCAAAATCAGGAGCAGCAACAACTGTAATGGCTTTAGAGTGAAACACTTTAGTAATTGGTAGCTTATTTCCATCAGCAGGCGGGCAGGACTTGGGATGGGTTAGTGTCCAAAAGGAAAAACTAAGGGAAATGAAGGGGACATGGCCAGAAAACAGGGCCAAGAACTGGAGCCAGAGCTAAGGACCAAAGCCGGAGCTAACGGCATCACGATTATGCACAAAAGCCCGACTGTCAAGCTTAATGTGAAATGTCGCACAAATGAAACAAATGCAGAAAGCAATAGGTGGGGGGTAAGATCGGTATAATGGCCAGGGGAATAGTCTGGAGAGGAGACGAGAAAAGGGGGGAGGGTTGACAGGAAAATAAAATGGAAATGACACATCTTACACACAGCTTTAATACGGGGCTTTATTCTGTTGTCTGTGTGTGCTTTTGGCCAGATAAACTTCAAGAGAATCTTCATATATCTACGGTTCTTACATATTTTTTATATCCCGTACTAGTTGAGTGCAAGGGTATATATGTTATAGGAAAACTACAGCTAAAACTTATGGGGATTAATATTCTTGATTAACACTAAGAGATGATTGGAGCTAAGATAAACTTAAGAGCTTAAGAGCTAAATGAACATGTGTGTTCTTGAATTAATAACTTACACAAATTGGTATTAAAACGTATTAATAGTTCATTATCACTCAGGTCCTTAAGGTAATATTTAATCACAATCACAAAGGCGTCTTAATTTGTTTCTAAAAATATTTATAAACCTTCAAAAATATCATATATTTTAAAATATTCAATGACCGCGTACTCCATGGTCGGTACTCTCCACTTAAGTATTACTTTCTTTCTCTTATCTACCTTGAAAGGTTGATATATGCGCGTATTTGTCTCCCACAGGGCAACACCACCACCAACTAGGGGAAAAAGCAAAGATTCAGGAAAGAGGGAACGCAAAAAAGGCTCCTACTTTGACATAATTAAACGCATTTGAAAGATGAAGATGTCGCCGCTGTCGCAAATGGAGGGAACAAGAGCAAGATGAAGATGTTGATGGTGGTGACACCCCTGTGTTGGGTCTCCCTACCTTTCTCTCCCCTCTCCCAAAGCTGAGCCTGATTCATGACCATGGCCTCGACTAGGCAAAAGGTGTGGAAATCTGCCACCTTTGCTATCTCCAGCCTCCATCCACTTGTCGTCCAATCTCCGAGATGCCACCACATTGATGATGAAGCTGATTATGTTCGGCTCCCTGGCTATGTCCCCGTCATCAGCCTCCTTGGCCATATCTTCATCTTACATTTTTTTACTCGGCCGCCCGATGATGAAGATGAAGTGTGCTTGGTTTATCAATATTACACTGATGAAAATAATTATTATAACACGTAGAATATGTCACATCTGTCAAGAATAGAATTCATAGTATTAACTATATAATTGTTCGCATTAATCAAATATTATTTCATTTAAAAATCTCAATTAAAGTTCTTTGAACTTTAAGAAATCCATTAAATACATTTTTAACTTGAAGAAAGATTCCCAAATAATTATTATGGCACACAGAATATGTCTCATCTATCAGGGAATTTATTAATACTATTTACTATATTATTATACTTATTTATCAAAATGTATTTCATTTGAAAATCTCAATTTAAGTCCTTAAAAGTATCACAAGCTATAAAATACTTTCTTAGAACTAAAGTCTTGGCTATAATAATTTTGTTTCAAATACTTGCCTTGATGAATATGAATTCATAAATCTTTGTGAAAACTTCTTTTGCCATTTTTTCGGTGTGTGTGTCTATGCAACAGAATTGGAAGAAGCTTCCTCTAGCTTCACCGGTGGCGCAAGTTGAAAAGATTTGTGCGGCATTCGAGGCATTTTATTTGAGTTATTTAGTTGGTCGGCTGATGATATTTTCCCCCATCCGCCTCCTGGCCTCCTTGATCGTTGTTGCTCCTCCACAGACATTGCTGTTGGCATTTTATGGCGGCCATTTCTCTTATTTAAGGTGCGAGCGCATCGGGAATGCCACCATTCCAGTTCTTCCACGGCCTCTTCTGCTGCTGCTATTGTTGTTGCTGCTTCACTACTGCTTGTGGTTGCTGTTGCTATTTGCTGCCATTCTTGTTGTTGTTAAATCCATAAATTATGCAGACATTTAACAGCAGCCGCAAGACCGAGGAAAATTACGTATACGCCGCGTGTTCGCCGCTTGTCCGTTCATAATTTAAGTTTTTCCGCTTTCGGCTGCTGTTGTTTTTGCCATTTGTTGTCTCCTCGGTTAGCTGATGTTGTTCTTGTTTGTCAACATGTCTCAGGGTGTTGGCAGCGGTTTATTGTTGCTGTTTGCTGGATCTATATATATAGATGTATATATGTATCTGGGAGAGTGTGTTTTATTTGTGTGCCGCCTGCGGCCATGGTGATAACTCTGATGACGTTGATGAAAAACTTTTGATTGATGTGGTGGCAAAAACTTCATGTTTGTCATTAGGCGCAGCTAGAAGGAAAATCAGGCTACAGGGGGGAGCTAAAGGGTTTCCTGGATGCGGTATGTGTGTGTGTATATATCGTATATATCGGCGGAAAGAAGCGAACAAGTTTTTGGCATAACAAACGACAGTCGGCAAAAAGTTTTCCCTGAGTGTGTGTGAGTGTGTGTGTGGATTCAGCACTTGAAGAGCTTTGCGAAAAGTTTTGTTTATTAATTAATTGAGGAGGGCTCGTGCATGTGAGTGGCTCGAAAGAGTTTGCTCTATGCGTAGCCAAAATTGTCGAGTTTTTGGTGGCATTAAATTGAGTGAAAAGTTTACTTTACGGACGAAAAATGTCAAAAAAGTAATTGCAACCTTTGAATATGCATAGATATTTTATTTAAATTAGATTTATTTATATACTTAATAGCTTAATACACTTTTAATAAATAGAAAAATATCAAAGTTGAAAAGATCACATCATGTCTAAATAATAAAACATCACTTTAACTTTGCGATATATATGCAATGCTTTAACAAATATAATATATTTAACTGAAACCTTCAAGAGTTCTACCTGGTGGCACCTTCTTTGTTTTTTTAACTGCAGCTTTAACTATGGTTTTACCTGGTGCACTCTTCACTCCCTTGCCATCCTGCGTGTCCTTGCCAACACCACCACCTTTTAGAAGTAGGAGCCATTCATTACGGCGTGTTTGCCTTTGCCTAGTTGCAACCAACAATGCCACACTTTTCCCCACTTTCGTAGTTCTTGTTTCTACTTTTTATTCTACTCTCTCGCCTTTTTTCCCCTCAGTTTTGTTGGGCACTTTTTAAACTTTTCTCGTTATTTTTGCACATTCGCTTGGGTTTTATGGGCACTGCTACACTAATTACCTTGTTTTTCGGAGAATTAACTTTTCGATTACTGTTGCCACAGTTTGTAACTGCTGCAATGAAGAAAAAGACGAAGGAAAATGAGAAGTTCAGGAACTTACAAGTGCGGAAAATAAAAATATCGATGCGCGGGGTTAACATGGCAAAAAGGGAGAAACTGTTGTAACGAGTAAATTGTTTCTAGAATTCCAACTGACCCTCAAACTCTATCGTACACACATTTTTGCAAAAATTATGAAAAATATGCTAAAAAGCAGCGTAGAGAAACAAATCGCAGACAGAAATTTTTGCGGTTTGGCAGTTTGAAAGTCCCCCTTTTTGGCCTCCTACATAGCGTTCCCCCGTTTTCATTCACACTTTGATGGGGGGGCAGTAAATTGAGGTCGACCTTGTTGGGAGGTAGCTGCTTTTTTTAGGGAGAAAATGTATGCTACTGCTGCAGCAAAACATACATATATGCATATATGTACCTAGCTAAATGAGATTATTAATGAATAAAGAGTGCCTGCTGATGGGTGTTGCCACAGCTGGATCGTATAAAGTTTGTTACTTTACTCCTATTTTCCCGCCCAAATAACTTTCTCCTCCTCGATGGGGCCATCCTTCTTTAGCCTTTTCATAAACTTTTTGGCAGACTGTTTTGAAAACGAATTATCTCGAATCGAATTAAATGTTGATAATGGCTTAATTTGGCCATTTAAATTGAAAACTCATAAATGGAGAGAGACTTGGCTTTTGGACAAGTTATAAAGTTTTCAAAGTTTTTCCCCAAAGTCTTTGCTTTTAGCTTTAAACTTCTTCACTTGCCAACTTTTAATTTGCTTTGACTTGAAAGTTTGTCATGAAAGTGCAATTAACTAATTATCTCTTTCTTATTTTCTTGCAGAATCAGTTGGAGTGATTGACAGTATTTAAGGTAAGAGCACTTTTCTTGTGCAGCTCTTAATTCAACTTAATATATGAAGGAGTATTATTTAATTTATTTTTCCCTCTCAATAAGATTCCATTAATTGAAAGTCTTTGGGTATTTTACCAGCTGTAAAGGTTCTTCTTTTCATGCAAATGTATATTTACTTTCATTCATTTCCCTTTTTGTTTGATTTAATGCCCTGTAATGGATTCAATAGGGAATCCGAATCCCCCAATGACTCATTATGCTCCCAGTACAGTAATCAGAAAACTATGAACTGTAATTTGTGATTTGTTTATAGAAAAACAAAATATAACCTTATTGGTCATGATAAATAATTGAAGAAGTAATGAAAGGGAGTGTTTAATATAATTTATTATAGGTTTATACTACTTTATAAAAAACAAAATTAATTAATTGTATTGTGACCTTTTAATTTCAAGTTTGCTAACAAATGTTGGCATAACATTTTCCAGTTATAATTTCCCCTCGTACTCAGTCATCTTTCCTTAAGCTGAGCTGTCAGCAGAGCTCTGTCTCTATCGCGTCCTTTTTACACTTCCCAGAAAGTGAGGAAAGAACATCTTCATGAAGTTAATTACAAGGAAATTCTGCAGTGATTTTTGCTGGCCAGCTAGCAAAACGCCCCGAAACTGGCCATCGGCTCCAGATGCTACTTGGGACGAGAGCAGGGACGAGACTTACATTTTTCTTTTGCATTTTCCCTTTTTGTGCCATTTTCAAATGTAATTACATTTCATTTTTCTCGCTTCGCTCCTTTTCGGTCGTTCTTGGCTGCCGAGCTTAGTCTGAGTCGTTCATTATCCAGCCCTGTCCATAACATTTTGTTGCACAGTCGTCGCTAATCTTGGTCGACAAGGTTCCTTCTCCACTCCAGCAGAATCCCCTTGACTCTCAACTATCTGTCTCTGCTTCCTGGCGACTGTTTAAATGTCAGTTAAAATCCCATAAATTCGCCTTAAATGACTTCTGTCTGCCGCAATTTCGTTTGCCCAGCATTGCTGACCCTGGTTCGGATATGGGCAAGATGGCCAAGACGAATGGCCAAGAGGAATTGCAGTTGGCTGGGAAGCTGGGCTGAATTAGCTCACACAAAAATCGTTGTCTCCTCGTAACTTTGACTTTAATTCATTCCATGTTGTCTTTCTTTTTTTTTGTTAGCTTAGCAAGAAAGATAAGAAAGCGTTTTTATACATCCATCTTACTTGGCCAAGAATCAGTTGGCAAGAAGAATAAGAACTCGGAGCTTTCTTACTGACCAACCTACATCTAGCAGCTAGCAACTAGCAACTTGCAACGTGCAATGTGCGACTTGCAGCTTGCAACTTGTGCAATTGGTTCAATAAACTCATTAAATGCTTTCAACTTTTTGTTTCCAGTTTTTAAAAGTTTTATTTTTTTCTTATTTTTTGTCCCTATTCATTGTCCTTCGCGCAAAAGTTTTCCGGGCAGAAATGGCGGTCATTCGGTCGCCTTTTGGCTCGTTTTCAACTTGTCGCATTATCCCTTTTATTGTCGTCGACATTTGCAACGCATTATCCTTGGCAGCTATTTTTGTTTTGTCTGTTGAATGGGAGTGCTTTCCCCCCAATTTTTTGTCGCTTTTTTTAATGCCTCGGGTGAAGGTTTCATAACTTCGTTTGGAAGTTTGACTAATGCGTGGCAAAAAGAAATATTTTTGTTTCAGTTGGATAGCATCAAAAGGAATTTACAATAAGCCTATTATGCAAAAATTTAAACCCTAGTAAATTCAGTTTGTGAATTAATTACAAATGAAATTGAAAACACCATTTCCATACTTTGGTTATTAGTTAAGCGTGAATATGACTTTGTTGTCATTAATATACAATTTCTTATGAATTAATCACGTTTAATATAAAATACCTACCGCTAGTTTCTTTCTTTTAAAGCTAATATATGTTAAATCTTTCATTTAAAATGTATGAAAAAAATGTATATAAACCATTTGCCATGATCTCATTCGTACTTGTTCCCATTCCTTGCCAATAAATATTTGGCCCAGAAACCATTTAACTTATTTGCCTATTTCTGGCTGACTGGCTGGCTTTGTTCCTTTGGTCCTTTTGCCTTGTTGGCCCCTTGCCAAGCTGTTGGCAAACAATAAATTTTGTGGGTGAATTTAAGCGCGGCCACATTTTAATTTGTGGCAGCAACAGCCGCAGCATCAGGAGCAGCAGTAGCAGCAGGAGAATCCGTACGAGTTTATGGAAAAGGCAGCCAGGCAGCAGCAGCTTCCGATTCTATGCCCCAGCCTAACACCTTGGTTGCCTTCCTGGCTCCTGCTCCCAATCCTCTGGCATTCTGGAAAACCGCAGCATTCATCGTTGCCTGGCTGCGGCTAAAGCCTCAACCATAACTATGATAACGAGTGGCTCAGACTTGGGGGACTTGGGAGGGCAATGTCAATTTATTTGTTGTGCCACCAACCGCAGCTGGCTTGGCTGCCTTGTGTTGTGATTCTTTTGGATGTTTTGCCAATTTGTCGGTTTCCTTTTCTGGATTTTATTTGTATTTTTTATATACGTTACTTTTTTCCTAGGAGTAACGTGGAAATTTCTTATGAAAACTTTGTTTACAACAATCAACCCGGAGTCACCCCGCCTTAGCTCTTCCCAAAATTCCCGCTTACTTGCACTTACTTCACCAGTATTGAGTTGACAATATTTTTAATAGAAACCCTCAGACTGGCAGCCAAAGTTTTCCTTTACTAGGAGAGAACGCAGGAGCAAAGTTGGCAGTCTTCCGGCTGTGTTTGTGTTTCAATTTGTGTGCCTTTTATAAAATTATGCACTTTTGCCAGCTTTGCCAGCTGGAGAAATGCACAAGTTTGGCAACAATGTGGAGCCAATTGAGTTGCAGCTTTTCGGATTTTTATGCTACAATGTCAAGTTGCCTTTTATATAGAATAATATGGAATTTATCATATATATAAGTAGTATGTTTTAATTACTAACTAATTTATTAGCCTGTTCTGAGGACTTTAACAAGCAATCTCCTTTTAATTGTCTAATTCATTTTCTCCATGTAATTTGCAATGCTAATCCCCAAGGCAACTGCATTTTCGATTTGGATTTTAGCTCTGATTACTAAACCATTTGCAATTGCCGTAAAGAGCAGTTGGAATTTGTATTACTTTTTCTTCCATTCGTTTACACTTTGCTCCCTCCATTTGGGAGTCCATAAACAGTCGGTGTCCCCACCCTTTGGGCCATTAATTTCTGGCTTAGCCAGAGGAGAGTCAGAGGAGAAAGAGAAAAGTACCAGGGCACAGAGGTTCGTATTATGGCCAACGCAATCCCATCATCCATCGAAGGCCATAAAAGCTGGAATGCGAATGAGAATGAAATGTTTCACTCGCAATTTGCGCCGTGTTTTTGTCGCTCATTAAAAGCTGTCAATGGTTCATCATTGTAATTAAACAAGGCCTGCTGAGATAAGAGTGTAGATGGTGTGAATTATATTGGGGGTTGGTTTATCCCTTACACGCACAATCATTTATACAATTTAAAAAATTAATTTCTTGGTGACAATAAAATCTTGCCACCTTTCCACTCTTCTGCCTCTCTTTTCTTATGCCTTTAACAATTTGTAGTCCTTCTTGTGCCGCTTTTATTGCAGCAGAGAGTTTCCTTGGAGCCGAAGTGTGTAATAAAGCTCAGTTGATAAATGTATATATATATATAAGGTGATCTCAGACTATATGGCTTGGAGGTGCGGCCAGTAAGCTGCCATTCGGGGACTGCAGTTTTCTCCACTGCAACTGCGATTATAATGGGACAATGTAAGGATTCGTCCTGGGAGTCCTTTTGCCGCACCGCCATTGTCGATGATAAATGGAAATGGAATAAGGAAAGAAAGAGGAAAAGCGTGTGGAATTTCTTTTACTAAAAATAATTTAAATTTAAGTAGAGCAAAATGTCAGTGAATAAATTTAATTAAATGAAAGGAATTGGGAGAAAATATTTTATGTTTATGGAAGTCACTTTTTAGTCTAACAATAATCAAATTATGAAGTACTTAAATCGTTTATTTTTTTAGGTAATAAGGAATCCCTGCTTTACTTAATAAGAAACCATAACCAAAACCATATTATCCTTATTTCGTCCTTTCTTTATCTCCGCAAACCCAACCAAAACTAGCCAGTTGAGACCTTAATAAGCTGATCATAAAAGCGTAAACCGATTCGAAAACTATCCAATAAAGTAAAAGGCTAATAAAAACCGAGAATATTCAAGAAGCCAGGCTGGTGCTCCTTCTCCACTTGGTGCTGGATATCCTGGTTGGCTTCTCCTTCCTCCCAAAAAATACAGCTTAATGCATTATGAGCTTTTTGGCCTTTTATGCTACCAAAAGCCGGCAGCCGGCAGGCTCCTCATTTCACTTGAGTTGTGTCAATCCTCGGCTAAGACTCTGTTGCCACAATCAAGTTCATTGGCCAAATCCGACCGCACACACACACATAGAGAATACGAACAAATGTTGGGGAGAGAAGGACTTATTGTGAAGTATCTATAAAAGTCATTAGACTTAAAGTTTTTAGTGTCCCCTTGGAGCCCAGCTCCTCCGAAGTGAGGTGCGAACGACTCGGGGGGTTAACCTGAAGTGATTTCACACACGTCCCACCACAGCTTGCCATTTTTATTGTTTGAAAAAAGGGGACCAAGAAGGAAAGGCAGGAGAAAGGATATAGTAGGACCGACCGCCGGGACATATGTGTGGGCAAGGCATGTGAGCAACTCGATAAATCAATATTTGAGTGTGACTATGCCTTGAGTTTTATCCCCTTCTTTTGCTCTGTCTCTGCAGTAAATGCAATTGTCTCTGGTGAAAGGCGGCAGTAAAGATTGGTTGGAGGCAACTTGAATCCTGGACGCAGGACGTGGCTTGGGACGAGGATATGTCTGCCGGTGGCTGCTGAGCCCGTGGCATTTGAGGAAATGACAGATAAATTTGCCTTTAAAGCG